AAAACTCTTGAATAAAAATCAAGTTATCGCCCCAAATACAAGTTTTGGAATGACAGAAATATATTTCAACAATGTGATTGTTAACGTTTTAAACAATGATTTTGTTTCGTCTTATTTTCTGAACAATTAAAAATAGTCTTTTTGCAATTAATGACATTGTTAAGAAGTTTTACAGAAAAAAGCTATTGTTAATATTATTACATTGTTTCAGTATGGCTAAGTAGGGGGGGGTGCACAATCTTCTACATTGAAGGAGCAGTTGGACAATTTTATCTCTGTTTGACCCCTAAAAGGTCGCAAATCATTTTTCTTAATTAATTCGGTAATAAATAAGAGAATAATATACTTTTAAATTTTAGAATTTATTAAAAAAACTTAAAAATCTAACAACGGTTTTTAAATCAACATTTTAAACCCTAAAATTGTACGAAAATCGAAGGGTCGATTTACACACCGATAATAAAATCGGACACTCGTTTATCGTAAAATATCAATATATTGTAAGCAATGAGATTGATATCATTAACTTTGTATCGAAAAAAAAAAACTTAAACTTTTGTTTTCTACAACTTAGAAGTCTAAGTTGTAGAAAACAACTTAGACTTCTTCTGGTCTTGTATTAGACTTGTATTAATAAAGTAGCTTATAACTTGTCAATCAGATTTTCATCTTAGTGTTCAAGGGATTTTATTTTAGTTTAAGTTTAATTTTAAAGAGTATTAAAAGAGTATAACAAACTATCCCATTCATTCGAAAAATCTTGTAACTAACGCATTCCAATTTTGTAGCGCTCTGTCTGATGTTTTACATAGTAACTCTCTAACTTTACATAGTAACTCTCTGTGACTCTCTAAATTATTTATGATTTTTCAAGCTTTTAGAATTTGAATTCTAACTTTTTATCTGACATTGTGTTTTTATGTTTTTCCTTCATTTAGACGAGGATTTCATACTAAAATCAAATTTATAGAAATTATTATAAACGAAGTTTTTGGGATAATAATTTTTACTTTTGATAGTCTTCTGGGCAAGAAAGTTTAAAAAGTGCCTGGGAAAAATGTAGATTGTGTAGTAATTCTACTGCACATTAACAGGGCTTTAAAAATTTTAAATTTTTTTTAAATATAATTTAAGAAATTTGAAGTTAAGTGGCATTTGAAAAACATTGAAATATATATGTTTAAGAAAAACATGTTGTAAAATGCTGTATATTCTAGGATTCCTTGTTTAAAAAATCGCTTAGTTCTGCCAAACATTTAAGTAATTCTTTGTTTTCATTAAGCTTTCCTTGAATAAAGATGATTTTCATGCAGTGTTTCCCAAAGTGTGGTACGCGTTCTTATGCGAAATCTTGCAACAACGAACATTTCAAAAAATTTTATTTAAAAACAGAGTTAGCCATGAAAATTTACGATTACCGTATTTTTCCATTGGCTATTTCTTGCAGAGTTAACAGTTAATAATTAGTGGTGTCAACAGCCAGTTGTGATTTTTAAATTTTGTGCAATTTTTTTATTAAAAATATGCATTCATTTTTTTATTAGTGGTACACAAAGTTACGAAAAAATTTAAAAAGAGTACACAAAAGTCATAAGTTTGGGAAACACTGTCATATGGCATCCTGATGTTTTGATACATTCTGAAACTTATTTTTGCAAAATCACCATAAAATGTCTCTCAACATCTAATATATATAATTCTCTTACGTGGCTCCCAAATTTTCGCTGTATTTCTTTTCCGCCGGTGGCAACGTTTGCTTTGTTTTGTTTACGTTACTATTTCTCTTACACGGCGAATCGACCAATGATTGCCACTAAAAATGTCACATGCCAAATCTAGTGTACCGTTACCCTTCAAACTTTGGCAAGGCTGTGATTTATTAATTGAATTTTGGTAACGGTTACCCAGGTTCAAAAATAGACACTTGACTAATGAAGTACATGAAACTTTTAACAATAAAAAGTAAATTTTATTATAACTATAAATTAACAACAAACACAATCCCGATCACTTCCAGATGCCTTCATGTGCACTAAAAATTTCAATTTATACACTTTTAAATTTCCAAATGGTTATACTCAAGCTAAAACTTTTCGATAAAAAGCACCTTTAAATTTCATATGCATAACATTAAATTAATTCACACTAAAAGAGACATTTACGAAATAAAAATACTAACTCATTCTAAATTTACAAAAACATTTAAACTTTAAGTCCTTGTATTCTTACAGCAGATAATTAAAATTAAATATCCAAGGCTTATCTTAAAATAGGTATCTCAACATCGGATAGAAATAATTTAAAATACGGAATAAAATGCTCTTCTAAAAAGTTACTAAAAAGGTAAGAAATTAGAGTTTATAAATACAAAGGAACTTGCAGATCACCTTCTGGAACGCCCACCGGGCCTGCAGGTAGACTTGTGGACTAGGAGAACCTCGACCTTCCGACCACCATTCAGCTCTTTAGAAACACTTGATTTTCTGCCGAGGAACGCTCACTTCTTGTCAACCGTCTTGAATCTAGCGACACTCCGTCTATCATATCCCGTTTTATTCTGAGGCTTCAGATCAACTTTTTTCCAGGCAACAGCTCATCCGATCAATGTGGCTTACTTAGTCGCGGTATCCAGGGACTCTTTCCAAATATCAACCTTTCAGCATTTCCGCCTAGATCAACTCATTCCGAGATTCCAGCTAAATCTAAACTCATTCTCGATGATACCGGCTCAGAACATACTTCTAACAGCCATGATAGATCCTGTCAGCGGTGATGTTTCAACTCAACATTCCATCGGGCACGATCCGCACTCCCGTCGTACTACTTTTTCAGGCACTCCCGTCTTACTACTTTTTCAG